TTTGGAGTTCACCGCAGTGCGATTCCTAGTTCTCACCATACGGGAGCGTCAACCGCTGGTCTGTCGAACCTCAGCGTATACGGTATAACCACTCTTACTAAGCAGGCCAAACTAATGCGAAATAATACTCTGCTGATTCCGCGAACACGCCTGGCCATGTATCCCTCTTCGTGGTTCTTGCAATTCTACACATCGATTCAGCATAAGCTGAATCAGCTCCTTGTCAACGTAGGAGTGACTGTAAAGAGTGTGGAATAACATTTCTGATGATTTCTACCCACCTCATTCTTTCTTTTATCAAAGCGTGATTGCATCGTGAGCTCCAATTTCTCATTCAGTGGTTTTTTATCGGTCTTCCAGAAGTCCCTGTTATAAATCATTTTATGACTCATATAAAAGTTTTTCATAAGAAATAATACGAACCTTGTCGCCAAAAGCTTTACGTTGACTCTAAAAGTTTGTGGATCGCGTGATTCTTGAAGCGCTTTTTCCGCCAAGCTGACATCCCAGTCCTGTGAATCGTTTTCATGAATGTGATGCGGAATGGTGTTTAGAAGATCCATACTGTTGATATGAATCCGAAAACTTACCAAGTGTGTGTTATACTGCCTGTTAAAGTTCATGAACACTTCTTTCATGTCTGGTGGCAGAGGTGTCTTTTCCTCTGCCTCTGAAAAGGAACTTTGTCAAATTTGTTGGGGCATTCTTAGCGCACGTTGTCAGATAATACTTTGGAACCATGGCTTATACAGCTTCAGCATCAGATCAGCGGCACGTACCTTGTCCGTCGATGACACTCGCTAGGAAGAAAACCAGCAGTGCGAGGGAGAACATTTCAAGTGTGACGAATTTGCTTTTCAGTCATCACCCCTCCCCTACTTATATATAGCTGATTTATTTACTGTTCCCTTCTTGTCGATGATTTTTTGTACAAGGGTGGTAAACTCAGTATACCCCTATATGATGTCGTGATTTGATGACACTCACAACGACTGTATAAACATGACATTCATTCTACATGGTGCTGCAGTGGGCCCGAAGGGAGAACACTAGTGGGGGGAGGTAGGGAAGGAGAGAATGGCGAGAACAACCGCTTTCGCTTTCATGAGTAAGGTCTACAGGGTGTCCCAAATTATGGGCACATCTACACAACAATATATTAGGTTGGTAACTTTGCCTTTAGTGGCTTTGTTTCTCAGCTGAAACTCAACCTCGTAATATGGGAGACCATCCATTCGAGAGAGCGATTCAGTGCGCATATTGCGAAACCTTAGGCGCCACTGAGCGGATGTTCTTCGAGCCAAAACTTTTGCTCGAAGATGATTGATCAGAAAACATCGCCTGAGCGTGTATATTCAAGCAAGGAAAAACAGCCAACGAATCCCACTCATTGTGTGCAAAACATTGAGCAGTAACACTTAGTCTCTGATGCACTTTCAGCTATGGTTTCAGCTCTTCCAAGACTGAGGTAAAGGACCTGAGGACGAAGATCGTGGATTTTGACCTCTAGCTCTAGATGACGGAGAAATAAAGAAAGCCAACGAATTGAGTCCTCGACAAACCGCACAAAACTTGCATGGAGATTCAGTTGTGTCAACAGAAAAATTTGAAAGTTCCTACGTGCGACTGTTAAGGCCTTTCAGGATAGAAAATGGGTTCGGCCTATTCTGAGCGACGCGAGCAAGCAGTATTGGTTGCCAATACTTGAACTCTGCTGCATAACTCCAAGAAGAAGAAGGTTCCTGACTTCGTTGAAGGCGTGTTTTACAGAAGGATGTTCCCCGATAACAAAGTGAGAAGATGGCCGTGGTTGGCAACAGATGGGCAGCTGAGGGCCTCTCCGAAACCGGACAGCCACAGAGAAAAAGTCTTGCTACAGTATGGTGAAGCAGTATAAGAATGGCTTACTATGGAGAGCTGATTGTGCGTCATATAGTTACAGCTAAACCCTGCGCACAACACCCGCAGGCGAGGATCGGGCTCTGCGTAGTCAAAGGGCAAATTCGGTCATTGAAAAATTTTGGCACGATAATGCAAGATCACATGTCGCGAAAATTTTGCAACAAGAAATCGAGGAGTTGGGCTGGGACGCTCTGCCTCTCGCGCCATATAGCTCAGACCTGGCACCGTCCAACTATCACTGACCTAGGCAAAACAGCACCCTCAGCAGCGTAAATTCAATGACCGCGACGACGTCAAAACGACGACGTCATTATGAGTACCTAACTTCTTCGAGTCGTACCTGGAAGAGTTCTACGAGGTAGACCTCCATGCTTGCATAACAAAAGGTGGAGAGTGGATGACACACATAAAGGAAATAAATTAGGTTGATAAGCTTTGGTATAGCTTTTATACTTAAAATAATCTTTGATCAAAAACGACATTTCAAAGTTACCAACCTAATATTTCAAGCTTGTAAACGGAGAATGCCCATTGAATTTATAAGTTGAATCACATCATGTATATAATATGGAACAGCCCATACCGAAATGCCTTTCACCACAACGAATGCAAGCTAGTAGTCGCTTCTGGGGTTTCGCAAACGTTGCACGCAGGTACTCCTCGTTTATTTCTTCCGAGGCTTCCTTCAGTGCTGATTCCAGTTACTCAAAACTGTGATGGCGAACGACAGGCTTCACTTTCACTCGATGACCACATTGAATAGTGAGGTGGATGTGGACCTGATGGAAATGTCGGGCAGGTGAAACCGGTACCACTCTTGGCTGACTTGGCTCTGTGGGCTAGAGCACTCTCCTGCCAGAGGCGTTTCGATTATTTCTGAGGTGGATCTCTTGCCGAACCTTCATCACACTTACCTCAGTTGTCCGAATTTGTTGACGTTTCTATGAAAATCGACGAAAAACTAAAGGCCTCTGACCACTGGACGTGGTGTTTCTTCAAACCAGTACTGGGCCGAGTTCGGTGATCTGCAAACAATCTTTCCTCGTGGAGTAGCACTCTCGACATTTCTGGCCGGAATGCAATCGTTCTGGCTATTGCAGATCCGCTCAGCTATGGAAATTTTTCCTTCATAAGAAAAGATAAAGTGCGTGTCCTCACTGATGCGGGTAAGCAACCTTCTGCATTGTTCACCCTTTTGCCGCTTGTTGGTATTGGAAGTGAGATGGCCTTTCTGCACCCCGTGGTAACGGCTATGAAGTTCTTCCCTGACCACCTGCCCCGTCAGCGACTTCGATTACCCCAGCTCCTTTGGGATTCTTCCAAAGGAGGTCGTGGGTTAGGTCAATTTGA